GAGTACCTGGATAGAATAAACTCCACACAGAAAGGCAGCAACCAGACTGCATATACATATGAAAATAACAGTGCTAAGCACCAGATCACTATGGCGTCCCTAATCATGAGGGGTTCTTAGTTTTTCTTAGAAGATTGCATAGAATACTTTGAAGACATTACTTTTTCCACAGGTGTACATGTACTCACACACAGAGACACATACACATAGATGAGGAAACTGCCAACTTTCTGTGTATATATGTGTTAAGAGAATATTTCATTACTTATAGGACCTCATCTCAGGTGAGTCACTGATGAGGTTTTAGTACATGGTGATGAGTTAGCCACACAGTTTCAACAGATGGCAACAACAAGGAAAAGTGAGATCATTTCAAGTGAAGTGGGAGACTGAGCACTGTAAATCTGTACTGGGTGTAAAGAAAGGTCCATGTATTTGCTTTCTTTTCTTTTCTTTTTTTTCCAAAGAACATAATTTGCATCATCATTTTGATGCTTGAATCCACACACCAGCAAAGATGAGTCATAGACAGGGAACAGAGGCTCCAGAAAGTCACTGAACTGAGAAGAGGCATGCAAGTACAGCACAATGTGTTTCTTCAAGCTTAATCGCAAAGTGTTGCTGTAAAGGCGAGTTGCATTTTCTATGTACAGCCAGTTTGTGCCAGAATATAATATCTAGACTATATCTCGGGGGTTTTTTGGTTGGTTTTTTTTTGTTATATAAAACTTCCCACACAACCCATGCGTTGTCATGTTCAGGCTTGTGGAACAAGCTGCAGTCAGGTCCATATGTTTTTGGACAATGACACATATTCTTTGTTGTAATTTTGCATCTGTATACCACCACACTGGATTTTAAGTCAAACAATCAACATTTGATTAAAGTGCAGACTTTTGTCTTTAATGGATTTAGCAAAAGCACGGTCCCCCACTTTTAGAGACTCAAAAGAAATTGGTCCAACTAAAATAATTTTAAATATGGGGATTGCTGGAGAATATTTAGCAGTTAATAACTGTCTGAAGTCTAAAACCCTGAAGTCTAAAGTGTGTGGTCCTTTAAGATACTTTATCAGGCCTTTACTGGAGCCACCAGTTGCTGCTTGTTTGTCGGCCTCTGTATTCAGCTTCAACTTCAGTAACTAAAGAGTATGCCGTGTTGAGTTGACTGATTGACCATTGAAGAATATCCTTTTTCTTTGGTGTGAGAAACACTTGGGTTGTTTATGGAGTTTATGCCTCCCTGAGTGTTCTTGCATTGGTACTGTAAGTTGTTGTGAAGCTGTTGAGAACCATGGAAATAATTCTGTGGTATTTCAGGCATTTCGGTGTTGCTGAGATAACCAGTGCATTCATTCTATTTAAGAATGTACCAGATTGTTGATTCTTGCTATCTGTCTCTGGTTTTCCAGCCTAATGATAGCCTCCCTCACTTGCACTGATGTCTCTCTGGACCTCATATTCATACTTTTACTGAATGGTTACCAAATACAAGTTCAGCAATTGGAATCAACTCCAGATCTACCTATCGATTTATCCAATTACTGTTAAGGCTCAGAGAAATGTGTCTAAAAATGGCTGTAATTCTTAAATAGCTAATGCAATACGCTTTAATTAAAGCTGAAATTACATATTGTTTGTTTGATGTAAAATACACATTCAGTCTCCTATTGATATGGTCCTTTATTTTGCACAATGTAATGTACATAGATGGCAGTAATGTGCCTAATACATGTATACTCACATATTTTTATACAAAGAACTACAGTAATGTTTATAGCTTTAATAATATTTAGACACAATCTTGCATGCTTCATATTTATCTGTTTCTCATAGTTCCATAGCTCTCTTGTTCACTATGGGATTTCGATTCTGTGTTAGTCCTGTACATATTGCAAAACTGACGATAACATTGACTCTGACTTTTAGTTATAGATCTAACTCAGTGGTTCTTAACCTTGTTGGAGGTACCGAACCCCACCAGTTTCATATGCACATTCACTGAACCCCTCTTTAGTGAAAAATAAAATGTGATTTTTTTCAAATTCAAGACATAGAAATGTTTTTTACTGGTGCACAAAATGAGCCGTGCATGTCACGGTGGAGGCTCTGCCGAACCCCTGAGACCGATTCACCAAACCCCTAGGGTTCGATCGAACCCAGGTTAAGGACCACTGATCTAACTGTAAGACATTTTTTGCATTGCATCCAGATATTTAATTAAATGCCCTTGTAGAAAACTTACAAGCATACAAATAAATGACAAAAAATTACTTCTGCATTGATACATGAATATGAATTCTTTTGTTAATTCGATATTTCTGCTTTTGATAGAACTGACAAATATTGGTGTGTATATGTTATCTGAAATGCGCTGATGCAAAGACCATTCTATTGCAGAGTGTAATGCAGAAAAAGATGATCATACTCTGACTGTACTGTTTAACATGCTGTAAGGAGCTAGTTTGTGAAATCCATTGCTGAAGATTAGCCCCATTATTTTACTCCCTAAAATCTATATCATCACTCATCCCCAGAAGCCAGTTTGTGTCAGCCTCCATTCACTATAAAACAATTGTTTTCCTGTAACTGCTTCCTGTGTTTCTATTTTAGTTGGTATTTTTTTCATAAAATTGGGAATTTAGTTCATAAATTGTTTGCTAGTGCGCGTGAATTATTTGTTGCCTATGTTGTATATGCGCGAGTTTGCACGGAGCCGCTGGCGCAGACACTCGAAATATACCGAAGCATAAGCCTCAGCGGGCTGTTCATTGCTCTTAAGTAATTGGCAGTGCCGGCATGTACAGACAGTGATTTATACTACAAGATAGCCACAGTCTCCCCTCCAGGAATTCACACAAAAACAGAGAAGCAAATGATGGAGCAACAGTGTAATAAGAACGGAAGGGGAGTAGGAGTGGAAAGAAACTATGTGGGAATCATAAGAGATACGTTTCAATGAATGATGAATAAGAAATAGAGGAGTTGAAATAAAAAAAGACAGAGTGAGGGGTGAAGTGAGGAAAAAGTTGTGATGGAAGGACTTAGTGAAAGCAAAAAAGGAGATTGCTTAGACCTGACAAGAATCACAAGTGATGAGGAGAAACACTGCCTGTTAGCTATAGACACGCAAAGAGAAATGAGAGGAAATAAGGAGGAAATGGATGGAGTGAAGTGGAGCGGCTAACAGAATCTTAACAACAAGATTGAAAGAGTTGCTACCTATAGGTGTGGTATATATGCAAAATAAGCTTGAATGTCGTGATAATATGGGGCTTTTAATTATTGTTTTCTAACACAGACCTGGCTTTGAAGTATAGTATAAAAACCTTCAATATGGTGGGGTTGGGGCTGTCAGACTGTTATTCCAGAAGCTTGATGTTAGTCTGCTTTATCTATCCCAAAACCAGATTTGATTTGTGTTTGGGTTCCTGTTGGACCACCCAGTCGTGTCCAAGTTTCAACTATCCAGCTGTTGATTTCAAGTGAAGTTGAAGAATCTGGACGTAGTCCTCCTTCTTCATTATTTCATCAAATTTGTGCATTGTAGCAGTGGCAGCAAAATAGCCCCGTGATGCTAACACCACCATGCTTAGCAGCTGGTTTCATAGGCTTGAAAGTAGGCTGTGCGATATGACCAAAATCTCATATCCCGATATAACACATTTATCGTCCCGACAACGATATATATCACAAAAATTCTACATTGTCTGTAAATTCTGTGAATCTCGGGCAACTCGACTTGTGTGAAGTGTTTTCAGTTGGGTACCCTGTACCTGGAGTCGAGTGATTTACAGATCCATGAAACTATACATTTTTAGACATACGGTAAGTTGAAACGGCCGCAATTTTTTTTGGCCTATTCTAAGGTTTATTTTTTAGCACCTGACGGCTCTTTTTAGCTTCTCATCCGTAAACACTGTGCATACTATTTCACGTGATTCAGTTTATTTTGAAAAATCTCAACAGGATCTTCAACTTTATTGTGAAAGGTTTACGTGGAAAATAAACAAGCAGACGGCGGAGCCACGCGATGGGTTTTACCGTCGCATAAAAACAGTCGCTTGTTTGTTCGTAGTGTGGTTATATATTAAATTATATACAATATTATATATATTGTTATATCGAACAGCCCTACTTGAAAGCCTAACTTTTAGTCCTCCAAACATGCCTTACACAAACAGTGTTTATGAGTGGATCAAACCACTTGCACATAAAGCTAGTTTTCCATGTTACCTGCATGGGCTTATCTGCTCCTGGGACTATGCCAAAGATCCCAACAATTAATCTCATCAGATGGGCCAGGCTCCCTGTTGGCATACCACTTTAGATGCTGACTGCACCCAAAACAGTGATAAATTCTTATTGTTTTCAAACTGTACTTGCTTTATTAGGGTCATATATCTATATTTGTCTCAGTAAAACACAAACATTTGTCTAAGAGCATCCATACGCCTTATTAAGGTCCAGAAATGTGTATTATTACATACTATACAAACGAGATACATAGAAAGCAAAATGTCACAGACAAAATAAACAAGCTGATACATCAAGATTTCCAAAACACAGCCACCATCTGTAATCTCAGAGCAGACAGCAATAAAAGCAGCCATTCTCCCAGACCACTATCATTTCTTCCCCCTGTTCTATTCTTCAGCTGTCTGTCCTCTTCTTGTGTACTGCTCCGTGCTGGCATTGTCTGTAGGCCTTCTCTGTTATTTGGTCCCCATCCTTTTCGTTTTCCCCTCCTCTGCCTCTTCCCCTCCTCTGTCATCCCTCACCATGTTGGCCACTTACTCTGCCTTCCTTGCTTTGTTAACAAGGAGCTGATTTTTTCCCCCTTTTTTTTTTTTTGCTCCTGCATGGATGTGTATCATTTCTGCCGTCTTCCCCATTCACACTTGCATTGCTTGCATTCCTCACTTATACCCCCCTTGCTTCGTGACACACACATAACACACTCACATCTCTCTCTCTCTCTCTCTCGCTCTTTCTCTGCAGATGTCTGAGGGCTCGCCAGCTGAGTAGAGGACTTCCCTCTCTGCCCGTGCTTTCCACCTGCAACCATGAATGGTAAGAACACTTTGGTTTTTTTGTCTTTATCGGACATGTGTTTGAGCTCAGAACATCTCTGTCTATGCTGGGCAGATCTGTGGTTCTGCTGAGACAATAATGAGGGCTGGAATTTACTTTAAAGGGTACAAAAAGGTCTGAGACCAATAAGCGGCTGTTTGTGTTATGCCTCATTTCTAAACTTTAATCTCTCCCTCTGGCCGTCCTCCTGCCAAGACCGAACATTCGAGTGCATCTGCTTTGTGCTTTAGTCAGCTTGAACTCCTTTTTTTTTTTTTGCTACAAGTGACTGCTTGTTTTGACTGTAACGTGTGAGGTGTGAAATCATGTTAATGGGATATTGATCTGCAAACAGAGACAAGGCTCAGGCTTTAAGTAAAACCATCTAAATCCTACTTTTTGGGGGGGAAGTTATTGAGCTGTAGCTTGTACAAACCCCTGCTGGAAAGAGGGTCGGTCTAAAGTAATATGGCAGGGATTGTCTTTCATTAATTTTAAGGGTGTTTATATGCACTGTAGTTGCACGTCAAATCAAAACAGGCATTTCAGCAGCAGCCTGTTTAGCGCTCCAGACTAACTCTGCTGTCTTGCTTTGATTCTGACTTTGACTTTTGTATCTTTATAAACCCCATCAGTTTCAAAGAAGCGATTTCCGTGGACTAAGATGCATGCACAGTTGGAGTAGCGATCCAGAAACTTGACCAGATACAAAGGGACTGGGACTTCATTCTCTGTGGAGAACACTTGGTTCACTATACAGTACTATGCAAAAGCCTAGAGCTGCCAGTCCTTTCTTTATATTTTGCTAGGAAAGTGGAAAATAGTTGCAGCGATTTATTGAAACATGCAAACCTACATGGAAATTCAGTGTTTAAGGTAAAAACAAAAGTTAATAAGCTTGAAAGTCAATATTTGTTATGGCACCACTGTACCCTCTGCATTGGTTGCTTCGTGTACCGCCGCAGTATCATGACACAGTCGCTTCTATTTATGCTCGCCATTAAGGCGCACGAAGCCGCTGCAGTGTTCTCCTGAACAAAAAATATCTCAAATCAGGAAATGAAAGAGTCTCAAAGATCGCAATAACCATGATAGTTTTTAAATATATATATATATATAATGTAATTGTAAAATAATTCTTTCAAAATAAGTGTGACTGAATTAAAAGATAGTAAAATAGTTTCATAATCTCTCTTTGATTTCTCATCCCAAGATGTCAGCAGCAGCAGATCCTGTATATCCTGTATATTCATTAGCATGGTGAATGGTACTCATGGCCATTGATCAGTGATCAGTGGTCA